GAGAGAGAGAGAGAGAGAGAGAGAGAGAGAGAGAGAGAGAGAGAGAGAGGGACCTGCAGCATGCAGCATGTCAGTGGCGGGGAGCACAAAGGAAGGCGCTGACCTTCCCCCCCCCAAAAAAAAAGTAATGTTCTATTGGAATACAAAAGTTTTTCCTTTCCAAATTCGAATTGAAAGGATACACTTGTATTCGAATACAACACGTACTTCTATTCCAAGTGCTCTTCTATTCGATAAAAATGGACCCACACCATTTCGATTTCGAAATGTTCAACACTCAAGCTTGAACAACCGCGTCCTCGCACGCCGTATTGATTTCGAAATGTACAACTGAAGGACAGCGGCCTCCTCGGGGCAGCGACCGGTCCTTCGCATGCCCCGCCCCCCGCCCCTTGCTAAGCCCTCCCCTCAATATTGCCCACCCTCCTGGACACAGACGTTGAAAGTTGAATTGACGTTGAAGGTCTCAACGACTCTCAAGGGCATAAAACGCAACCCTGACGGGCTGCCAACAACAGCTTTAACTGTACCCTTGGAATCGGCCCCCTTGCCCTGGACGTCATTTTCCAGCATCGAGCCGAACGGGGTAGCGGCCCCAGTACTTTTTTCTTATTTTCGGTTTCCCAAAATCAGGACCTCCAAAAAAAAAAAAAAAAAAAAAACATAAAAATATATATATATTGTCACAAATATATATATATCGTCACAAATGTATACATATATATATATCGTATATATATATATATATATATATCAGCCTCCTGATGAGTCGGTGAAACTCCGACGAAACAGTTTGTCACAGCCCCTCGTTTGTTGTCCTCTTCTCTCTCTCTGCCTACGGTTTTACCGGGCAGTTCCGTTTGTGACGATATATATATATATATATATATATATATATATATATATATATATCAGGGCCTCATTACAGGCCCAGTGCCAAAGGCAAAATGAAGTTCAAATGCAATTTGCTTACCGGGAGGGGGCTTCACTAGGGAGGCCACACTACCATCTTCCCCCGAACATAACGCACCCTTAAAATAAATGTATACAAGTATTTCCGGCCAGATACACACAACATGAGGGTGCGTTGTGTTCGGGGGGAAGACGATAGTCTCTTCAATCAAATACGATGGCCCGTAATTACCCTGCATCTTTAGACTGGATGGTAGTCCACATACAGATATAATGGCACGGCCTTCAATTTCAGAGACGACAATAGCCTCGCGGGTTAGAAAGGACAGTAGCCTGGCGGATTAGAGAAGGCAGTGCTTGGAGGATTAGAGATTTAAGTTCATGAATCTTAACATGTTTGATGCACAGATGCATAATCATGCTTCAATCGCAATCTGCACCTCTCAATGAGACAACTCCAGATTCAGGCCAATCATCTTGCTACTACCTTCTTCCCCCGAACATAACGCATATGCATTCTAAACGAATAGAACACAGGGTGCGTTCTATTCAAATCTCTATTCAAATAGCCCTAAATTTCGAATACAATGCATATGCATTCTATTCGATTTTTTTTTCCAAATTCGGAAAATCGAATAAAACACATATGTGTTCAGGTCGGGGGAAGAAGGGAGTAGTGGGGCCTACGACCAGGTCTCAAGCCCAGACCTTTAGCCTGAGCCTTCCCCCACAGAAAAAAATTACAAAAAACTCCAAACAATGCAAAATCATAGAAAATATATATTTTTATTTTTTTTTTCCCTTTTTTCCCTTGTAGGTTCTCTTCTCTCTCTCTCTCTCTCTCTCTCTCTCTCTCTCTCTCTCTCTCTCTCCCCCCCCCCCTTTTTAAACGAGGAAGAGGATTACTCAGCGAAACCGTTCCAGTGGCTATGGCTGTTTGCCTACCAGAGGCAATACCCAACTTGCTTGCTGAGGTGAAAAAAAAAAAAGAAGAGCTTTTTAGAGGGAAATCGGAGCCATAACTGCATGGAATCGTGAGAGGTACTAATTGTACCAGGTGCAAAGCCAAAAAAGAAAAAAAGACGTACAGCCTAAAACACGCCCATACCCACCTCTCCTGTTCTTGCAATGCTCCCTCCCCCTTTCCCCCCCACTCCCCCAAAGCCCAAAGTAGTGCTACAGATTGCTGTCCCCAGATCAGAAAAGTGGAACAGACTTGTTCACAAAACCATCTCCATTCTCCTATTACCAAGAAAAACACCACTATGTGCATTTGGACTAAGAGATTCTCAAGCCCGGCAAGGCACCTGGGCGTGACGCCCGATGTAGTCGCACATGGAAAAAAAGAAAAAAAAGATTTCTTTTCTTTTTTTTGGGTTTCTGCGCTCTCCCAGATGACCCCGAATCCGGGCTCATTTCTTGTTTTGCGAGTTGGCTGTCAAGAGCGGGGAGGGATGGTTTAAATTGGTTTTTAACTTTTAAAGGGGCTAAAGGGGGGTGCCTTTGTGAGATTCTGTTATTTTCTTTGTTATCTCCGATTCTGTGAAAAAATTATAACGTTACCCTCTAGGCTACCAGAGTGGCCCAGGTCCACTTGCCCGGCCGGGCCAAAAAGAAATTGAATAATAATAATAATAATAATAATAATAATATATATATCGTCCAAAAAGAAATTGAATAATAATAATAATATATATATATATATCGTCAAATAGAACTGCCCGGTAAACCGTAGGCAGAGAGGGAGAAGAGGACAACAAACGAGGGGCTGTGACAAACTGTTTCGTCGGAGTTTCACCGACTCATCAGGAGGCTGTATATATAAATTTTTTAATTTGGTAAAGGATTTCGATGTGACCCTGGGATTATGCCAAACGATAACTCAGGACAAGTGATGCAAGGAATTGAATACACTCGAAGAAATAGATGATTGAAATTAACATGAAAGCGCTCCCTGGGCCCTCGACCCAGTAGCGAAGTATTCTACCACTGGCACGCCGTTCAGGATTTCGCTCCCCTGTGGCCTCGAGCGAAGCAGTACGACCGCCGAATGCATCAGATCTCAACGGACTGGTATTTTCCAATCGGGGACTCTGTAAAGATGCCCACCTTCCGTCCAATGAGATGCGTCAAAAAAAAGAGAAAAACAGACTTGGACATGATAGCTCGTGGCTTTGCGTGGGCGGGAAGTCCGGATTTTATGGACCTGAAAGGGGGGGAGGGGGGGGGGGGATTTCCAGACTTTATTTTTATTTTTATTTTGTTTTGGCTCTGAGAAACCGAACTTGAAATGTGAAATTCAAATATTGTGGCGGATCTGACAGGAATGCCTCCACGTCTGTCGGATGGCCTGTTAGAGGCCTCATGAGATACATGGCGATGAATGTATCCCCATACCCGTTACGTGTTCATCCATGTGGCTGTGTTCATGGACACATTTTATTGCCACGGTACATCACTAGGAAGACTTACGTGAAGGAGATCGTACCAACCCATGAATTCGGGTGCACCGCTGTTTTTCTTTGTTTTATGTGCCGTTTCAATTCATTTTAAATCAGCAAACGATCCATTCATGAAAATAAATAATCACTTTGTCTTTTCCAAAAAGCCATAAAATTGCATCACACATCGTAGAACACTTCGCTAGTGGGTCCAGGCCCCCGAGGCAAAAGTTGTTCATTTTATTTTTCTGCATAACATAGTTTTTTTTTTTGGCTGGGACCTTCCTCGGTCACATCGTAGAACACTTCGCTAGTAGGTAGGTAGAGAAGGTGAATTGAAAGGAGTTGAAAGATGATGAAAGATTTGAGAGAAGAATATAGCATAGTTAAAAAAAAAAAAAAAAAAAAAGAATACTTCGCTAGTGGGTCCAGGCCCCTGAGGCAAAAGTTGTTCAGTTTATTTTTCTGCATAACATAGTTGTTTTTCGGATTTTATTTTTTTTTTGTTGGCTCTTCCTTGGTCCTTGCACGGCCGGGCCGCCCGGGAAAATAGGGTGACCCGGGCGGCCCGGCTGGTGGCCTAGGTTACCCTCAGCCAAAAGTCGTTTGTATTTCAATTCTACACAACATATATTTTTTCCGGATTTATTATTATTATTATTATTATTTTTTGCGCTGGGGCTGCCCGCAACCCTGTCCGGGGTCGTCCCGGCCGAGCACCCCAGCGTTTACCCGGGCAGAAGTTGGGTGCCCGGGCGCCCGGGAAAACAGCCTAGCATTTGGACGCTTTCTGGACCAGGTGCATTCGGACGGATATGACATTTTGAATGTATCAGGTCAAGAAAGCGTGCAAATGCATGTAGAATGTTGTGTAGTGGAGGGAGGCCGAATACTGTACAGGAAGCCCTCACCAAAATCGTACCATAACGAAGTCTACTTGAACCAACTGACAGCCCCCCCCCCGAAAAAGAGAACAAAAAGGCTCCGATGCTCTGCTGGCGTTTCCCAAAAATCACAACGATGACCGGGGATAGAGGAGCGTCAAAATACCAATACTTACTCCCGCTACCCCTCCTCGATGGTGAAGGAATGGAGGGCCCTCCCTACCGCCCAACTGTACACACCCTCCAGCAAAAACATCGAAGGTGGCAGGTGGACAAGGAGAAAGGGACGGAAAGGGAAGAAGAGACGAGAGGGAAGGGGAAGGGAGAGAGGGGGGG